GCGGAAGAAGTTCACATTGGGCTAGGAAGGGATGAGACCCCAGTACCGAAGGACGGCCCTCAAAAGTGGGTGAAAAGGAAAACGGACGCCGTCCTCAGCAATTGATAGGAGAGGAAAGATGATCGAGTTCTCATCATCCCTCACCAAATCAGTGGTGCTGTCTGCTAGAAGTGACAGATGGACGTCGTCGGGGATAGAGAAATGGCGTCTAAAGCCGAAAATTCAATCCGCAGAAAGGAGATCCTTCAGGTGTTTTGCCATTTTTTGGCCGATCCAAGGATTATAAAAAAAAAAAAAAAAGAGCTAACTAAAAGCGGATAAAGAAAGGGATCAAAAAGAATGCAGGAGAAAGAAAACTTACAGGAGGAGAAGGAAAAGGTGAGGAACAAAGGGTTGCAAAAGCCGTGGAGTACAAGAGTCCCACTAGAAGGTGAGCCAGATATCTTTGAGTATGCAAAACACACATTCGAAGAGGCAAATTCAAATCGCATTAAATGGAGGCAGCGTACGAAGGGGCGGGAAAGTGTTACAATGACCAAGGAGCATGAACGCGCTCTGACATGCATCGGGAAGAGGAATAACCGCCGGATTTCTAACCTCCAGGCCAGGAGCCAAATAAGCCGACTAAACTGTTGCTAGTAGGGTGTTTGGGGGGCAATTGTGGGAGCTGAATAAATTCTGGATCAACGAGAGTAAAACAGGTCGGCCCCGAACGTGACTTCTATTCGGCATTTACCCTATCCAGTTGAGGGGCCGAGTATAAGAGCCGGCGTTCCTACTAATAAGTGCCGTGTAGGAATGCATTATAGGGGCTAAGAGTGGGCCAGGCTCCCAGACCCAAAGAGAATACTATAAATAGGAGACCTGCAATCATGGAAAGGTATGCGTGATAATTGTGGTATTTAACTTAGAATATAAGTAACCTAGAGCTTGGGATTGACTTGTCCGTCGGAGTGCTAATTCCAGCACGCTCGACCGGAGTGTTTATTTCCTTTCATGTGACTATCGGAGGATCATGAGCGCTCCCCAAGATCAGAAAAGTATTTCCAAAAACCACTTCTCCACAAAAATTGTATAATAAAAGTATTTTAAATTTTTGAAATTAAATGAATTTTTATAGACAAAAACATAAGTATAAGATTTATCAACTGTTTTATGCATTAAGAAATATATAAATTTGCCATAATATTTTTTTTTTCATAACTCTTTGCAGTTTTAATAGAATTATCCCTTTTAGATTTTTTACACTAAAAGAATTCATAATTGTAAATAACAAAAAATGATGCATTTTATACTAGGGTCCAGCTTGTCTCAAGTTGAGATCAAGACTGGACCCGTCCAGTTCGGTCCATGTGGCCCATTTTTTGGGCCCGTTTTGATAATCCAAACCGTTCAATGTGTAGAACTCGTCGAGTACTGCATGCTCTTAAAAAATCATATTGATCGGATATGAATAGCTATGTGATCAAATCAGTTTTGTATAAAAAAATGGACGGTGAAACAATTAATGGTTGATAAAAAACTGTTTTGTTCACATAACTATCGATATCCGATCAACGTGATTTTTTACAAGCATATAGTACTCGACGAGTTCTACATATTGAATGGTTCGGATTATCAAAACGGGACCCGTGGTGGGCCCCCACGGGTCCAACAACACGATCCAGTCCGATCTTGGACTGGACCAAAGCCACTGTCTTTATACTATAGTTGAAATTTGAAATTTTAATAAAATTAGCCCAATCATTATTTATGATTTTTAATATAATATTAATAATTTCTACAATTAAAAACATTAATTTTAATGAAATATTTAATTTAACATCATCTTCTAACTTTTAATAACGAAAGAAATCGACAATATTTTATTTTATAACTTAAGGAACTTCATACACTCAACTCAACTTAACTCACCCACACCCCCACAATGTACCAGACGTACCAGACCCCTTTTGGCCGTACTCGGTACGCGTGCAGCTGTACCGGTACGCGTACCCGTACCAGGTACGTACCCGGTACTTGTACGGCAACATTTTAGGAGTACCGGTGCTTCATAGCCTAGCACTGATCAGAGTCGAATTTCATTGGAGTAGTCTACCATCCCCGAAAGGGGTGCAGAAAGGAAATCGAGATGCTATTGATTCCTTTACATGTTGCTTCTGATGTTCCAGCATCCACAATCAACCCTCAACCTGCCTCATATGTCTTTTTCGAACAGTAGAGTACTGAAAATAAATTACATTATTGTAGACATCTCATTTTGACCGGCTCTAAGATTTGAGCACTTTCTTTTGAACACCCTATGATGAATATTGAAATGTGCCATTTATGAATTTCTCAACCAAAAAATCAGATTGAAGCTTTAATCTTAAACCTCACCCATTTTGACTAAATTATTTTTTATCACTAATATTTTATTAATTTGTAGTATTTTATAATTTTTATATAATTTGATGTGTGTATACATATTTTGAGGTGGTGTATTTTAGAAATAGAAAATAATAAAAACAAAATACAAAAAAAAGAAAATAATAATAAATAAATAAATAAAAGAAAAGATGGTATGATGGGATCGGCACAAGAGATATATTTTTTTATTGTTTTGATTGGGCAGGTGAGTTATAAAAAAAAAAAAAAAAAAGAAAAGGTTCAAAAAAAAGCTAGCTCTCTCTTGTGAAAGAATATAAAAAAAGAGGGAGTGAGTAGTGTTAGGAGGAAATGAGAGACACACAGGTGTATAAAAAAAAAATAATAAGAGAGAGAAAGGTTTCACTACAAGAATGGTGGGATTTAATGGCGTTTATTTAGCGACGTTTAAAAAAAAAGAGATATATTTCTTTATTGTTTTGATTGGGCAGGTGAGTGATAAAAAAAATAAAAAAAAAGAAAAGGTTCAAAAAAAAGTTGGCTCTCTCTTGTGAAAAAATATAAAAAAAGAGGGAGTGAGTAGTGTTAGGAGGAAATGAGAGACACACAGGTGTATAAAAAAAAAAATAATAAGAGAGAGAAAGGTTTAGGTGGATCTAACGGCAGAGAGAGATGCAGTTTCAAAAAAAGAGAGAGTGGGTAGTGTATTATTTTAAAAGAAGACCATCTGAAATTAAAAAAAGAAGAGAAGAGAGGGAGAGAGATGTGAAATTCGGTGGGTGTGGGGTTCAAAGGTGGTGGAGAATTTGATTATTTGAGAGAGAGAGAGTTGTTGGGTGGGAGAAAAGAGTTTCAAAAAAAATATCTCTGTCTCGGGGGAGAAAAGAACGAAAAAAAAAAAGGAAAAACAGCACAGCACTAATCTCTCTCTCGGTTTTGGGGTGTAATGGAGAGTTTTTGTTTTTTTTTTTTGGGTTGATCTCAGGGCAGAGAGCAGTTTCATAAAAAAAAGAGAGTGAGTGAAACAGTGTTCTTGGGTGTTGTTTATTGCAAATTAAAAGTTGATAATCTAAAAAGTCAAAATTATCCGTCATTCAGGTTTTAGAAAAAAGTTTTTCTAGTGTATTTAAATTATTTCTTCTTAATAAATTAGCAAATATTACACCAAGCAGGTCTGACACAAATTAAAGAAAAAGAAAAAATATAAACAATTCGAATAAACTACATAATCCCATTACATAAAACTTACATCAAGTTTCCGGCTTGGGTTGGAGAAGTTTCCATGAAATCACTACAAGAATGGTGGGATTTAATGGCGTTTATTTAGCGACGTTTAAAAAAATGCCTCTGTTTTTAACATTTAACGGCGTTTTTATAAACGTCGCATTTTGTTTAATAATACGACGCCGTTTTAATTTCAAAAGTCGTTTTTAAAACGCCTTCGAATGTGTTCTTTTATGTTTTTTTAATATGCGAGAACATAATGCAGCGCATTCACTCTCTCCCTCCTTCTGTCTAAACCTTGATTTCACTCTCTCTCTCTCTGTCTCTCTCTCTCTCTCTCTCTTCAAACCCCTTCGTATTTGTAGAACCGCAGCTGAACCCCTTTGTATTCGTAGATCGATTCATGTATTCGAAGATCGGTTCAAGTATTATTCACTCTCAGTCTTGCTCTCTCTCTCTAAACCCTTGATTTCAATCCCTCTCACTTCAAACCCTTTCGTTTCAGAGACAACCCTTCATATTTGTAGAACCGTAGCTGAACCCCTTCGTATTTGCAGATCGATTCAAGTATTCATAGATCGATTCAAGCCTCTTCTCTAGTTCGTGTTTGCGTTCGCGTTCGCAGCTCTTTCTTCATAGTAAGTGTTAATCAGTCTCATCTCGATCTTCTTACTGACGGAATCTTTCGATTCAAGTATGCTAGGTTTGATCTACTTTATCATTCTTAGATCAGATTGAAGATCTATTGATTCGATTCAAGTATGGTAGGTTTCGATTGAAGATCTATTGATCGATTGAAGATCATAATGTGTATTGTAGATGTCATAATGTGTATTGTAGATATTTGTATAGTTTTCACAGGTTAATAGTCATCTGTTTTCTTATCAGATGGATGATTTGTAAATTTATATGATGAGCTACACTTTGGAATGTTTATGCTGCTAAAAGTGTTAATCCCAAATTAGTTGGGTTGGCTTGGCTTGGATATCCATTTTTTGTTGACAATCTTGATTGTGAAAGTAAAATGGCATTATTATTGGAATAAGTAATGTTCATACGTTAGTGCTTAATCTAACTCTGTTCATGCAGATGGTGATGGCTGTTTTCGCATACATCTATCATCAGTCATTTGTTGCATCACAAAGTTTATCGGTTGAGATGATTTTGGACCAGGTAAGTTTGTGTACTAGAATGTTGATTTGCTTGTGGATATATTTTTACATTCAGATTCAATCAATAAACATGAGGAATTATTTTGGTGGCATTTTTGTGATGCAGATATTGATGAACCTCACTTTCGAGGAGCAGTGAGCTCTGTACACGTATGTTTGTAGCTTCTCCAGGTGATCATCATTCTCATTCACTCAATACTAGCTTCTCAATCTGGAAATAAATAAGTGAATAATAATAATGCCTAATTTATCAACGTTGTTATCTACCTACATGTATGTTTGTAGGACTCACACAAAAAATATGGTGGAGTAACAGGTCAGATAGTAGGGCCTACTTATGAGGAAGAAAAAAAGAAGAAAAAAAAAAAACAGTCAATTGCTGTGTGACCAATAGGACAATTTGCTTTCTGTGTCTGTTTCTGTGAATTTCTCCTGTGTTTGTAGACTGATTCTTATGTAAAAATCACAATAGTGGGAAAGCAAAAACAGGGAAAAAATAGAGGAATGTGCATTAGAAAACTATAGAAGTTGATAACAAAGGGAAAATGTTTTATAGAATGTCATGAATTGGTGAAAAATTGAATGTTGTATAATGGCAATGCTTGGTATTTGGGGGGAAAAAGATACAAAATTTGAAATGAGTGAATTAGATTTGGAACATTGGTTCAGTAATATGAACACTCCCAGTAAAACTCACCCTAAAAATCAACTTGCAAAAGAAATGTGCCCAATTAGTTTATATTCATATGACCTAACCTATTTTGATTCAATGTAAAACAGGTTATATCTTGACTTAAACTTGTAAAGTGAAAGTTCATTCATGTGTTGTAGAGGTACATGTAGTCTTGATTTGGAGAATTACTAGAAATGACTGATATGTGGAGGTTTTTGGCTGTTACATTGCTGGGTAATGTGATTGTTTCCATGAACTACATTGATAAGGGATTTATTGTTGACTGCCTATCACAAAAAAAAGAAAAATAAATATAAAAGGGTTTCTTCTTGTCTTAGTGCATTTATAATATCAATTATTTTATTGTTTGTAGGAGATTTCAGGGAAACTCCTTTGGAGGTCCAATACCAACAACATTTTCCAACTTAACCTTGATGGAGGACTTGTGAGCATTAACTCTTTCAACAGCTTTTGTTCATATTAGCATATCAATAAAGCTAATCTGCTCTTTTATAATATACCCATGCTCATCTAGGAGAATCCATCATCTTCTTGTAATGACTACTGATCAGCAATCACCAGTTTTGAAGCTGATAGAATAGAAGTTAGGGGTTTTCCCTTTTGTTGTTATGAAACTTTTAGTTTAATGCGACCATGTGTCTATTTTCATCCCATGGAGCTCCATATGATTTATTGGCCATCTTTGTTATTATTTACTATGAATATTGATTTTTCACAAGTTGATTAACAATTCCATTATTTTATTTTATTTTTTGCCGTCAACAGGGAAGAGCAATAGAGAATAGTATGGAATTTGATTCTTCACCGAGCTGGCATTGCAATTCCAAGGCCCGTTTGGTGGTGACGTTCCACTGCCACTCTTCTCTACTACAGCATCATCAGGATTTGCTACTTCAACCATCGCTACTTCATCAGCTGCGGTTTACCAACCTTGGTTTCCAACTACAACAATCCCCCACAACCATTACTTTCCATCGGTCCTCGATTCTAACAACATATAAAATTTTTGAGCAATTCATTGACATTCATGATGGTTAGTGTTTCTCTGTTTACATATAAAACATTTCTAATTGATAAACCCTTTATGCATTAACTGTTTTGGAAAGCTTGTTAATTTTTGCCCCATTTTACAGGTCAATGTTTGGAGCAAGCAAAATCCTTTTATCCACATGAGTTTCTTGGGTCTCTTTACTTTTACAGCAACTTACCTTCCGTGGGTGAGTGATTTCAGTGTGTTACTAACATGATTTTGTCGAAGTAATAGTGCAATGGATGATTGAAATTGATCTGCATTTAATGCATTCAATTTAATTGCTGATTTGCTCAATAAAGGTTGCACCCTTTTTAACGCTTTTAATGGATAATTATATTAACCAAATTTATATATTTTGTCGAAGTAATAGGTAATTTGTTGTTTTTCTTGGTGAGGCATTTATGTGGATAGTCTCTTGAAAAAGAGAAAAAAAGGAATGGATATGATACGTACATATAATTTACAAACAATAAATTAATGCAATTTTGAATATTGGTTGCATGCCTGTTACTGATTCATGTTTTGGTTTCATAATTGCTTTCATTGACTGCATTCAGGAATCGAGTGCTTGGCATCGGAACTTCTAGAGCTGCTTGTGCTAAATCAGAAGTAGCAAGTTGTTTAGATGTCAAAGCCAGTAAGATTTCTATTGGAAATTTAGTCCTCTTATATGTAACATATTTTGACTGATAGCAATTTTGTGGCTTTGTATACGAAGTAGTAATTAATTTTTTGGTTGAGAATTGTGAATACAATTTTTCGATATGTTATTTTGGGGATAATATTAAAATATCATTTGTGGATATGTTATTTTGGGGGTAATATTAAAATATCATTTGTGGATATGTTATTTTGTGGGTAATGATAATTGGTGAATGGGAAAGTGAATTAATGATGCATTTGCTATTTGAATGTAAGTTATTATTTCATATTAGTGTTATTCATTTTTATTATATGCATTTTTTTAGTTTAATCACATAAATTCGCACAATTTCAAAAAAAAAAAAGAAGGGAGATATCACGGCGTTTTTAAAAACGCCACTTAAAACTCAAAATATTAACGATTAGATTTTTTAAAAAAGATATGACGGCGTTTAAAAAATGTCGTAAAGTAAGACATTTAGCGGCGTTTTTAAAAACGCCGCCTATACTAATATAATGACGTTTTTAAAACGTCAGGAAGTTATAGCGACGGTCGCGTCCTCGGCGCTTGATGTTAAGCGTCGCAAAAGGAATTAGCGGCGTTTTTGACACTTATAGCGGCGTTTTTTAAGCGCCGCTAAAAGCTAAATTTCCTGTAGTGGTATTATCTTTTTTCAATTCCTACAATTTCATAAAAATATAGGGGAAAAAAATGCAATGATTTAGTGGTAAAATTTGTGGTATCATGAAAATGATAATATATTAATTTTTTGACATATATATAGAATGTTGTCGTATAGGTATTTTTCAAAATATTGCCTTTTTTATTTGAAAATCAACATAACATGTATTTTAACATTTTAGAAACATAAATAATTTGTGTTAGTTTCTATATAAAATGTTTTGAAATAGGCATGATTAGAAGGAAAAAAATATTACCATATTGATAAGAAATCAATACTTTAATTCCATGTATCTTTTTATAGTTTATAAATTCAATAATTTGAGAAATTTGTATTGAGACTTTCAACCTCAAATGCCCAACAACGTTTTTCCTTATATTAAAATTTTCTATTCTAATAAATCCTATTATTTTGTAAATTTGAACTACCAAATCTTAATTTCCATATTTGAGATCTTTTATGGTCAGTTTTACCATTCTAAATATTTTTTGAATCTTTAGCAACCTGATATGTGCTTATGATGTGCACTGATTTGAACTATTTTTGACTTTTTGTATATTAAACTTTGAAAATTCCTAATTTTTGTTGTACATATTTTTTATTGTAAAATGTATATTTTAAAGCCTATTTAAAAAGATATCTCAAATAAGATCTCATTTGAATATGAATCACGTAAAATAAGAACAAATAAATTTGACAATATGAATATTCACACTGAAATTATAATTATTAATGTGAGATGATTTTCCACATTTAATTTTGTATTTTTTTAGATTCAATTTTGATATTACAAGTCTACATTCTCTTAATTGGTAGATTTATTTTTATTTTTACTATCTAGCTTGACCATGGAAATGCGACAGCAAGAAGAGGAATTCCTTTGTGGATTGTGACACCAAGGCATTCAGTCATGTCCAAATCCTCAGCTTTGGCTCCACCAGGCAACTCCCAATCAAACTTGTGCAGAAGATTTGCTAAAACCAACTCATTCATGGCCATTGCAAAAGAGATTCCTGGGCAGCCCCTTCTTTCAGCACCAAATGGAATCAATTGGAAGTCCATCCCTTTGTAATCAATAGCAGAATTTAAGAACCTCTCTGGCCTAAACTCCTCTGGCTCATCCCACACAGCAGGGTCTCTCCCAATCGTCCAAGCATTAATCATAACCATTGTTCCAATAGCAACATCATAGCCTATCACTTTGATATCATGCCGTGCTTCTCTTGGCACCAGTAATGGAATTGGGGGATGAAAGCGGAAAACTTCCTTAATCACGG